AGATATGTAGGGGTCCTCTTTGCTTACTTTGATTACCTGCTAAAATCATTTGGGTTCAAAACTTGTCAATTTGGAGGATTTCAGCTCTAAAATAACATCTAGTAAACCGGCCGTTTTCTCCTCGTTTGTTCTATTTTTTCTTGTTTGTTTCGTTTATATTTTTTTCTGGGGACTTAGGACTTATTCGACTTATGGAATTGGCTACCACTTTGAAATGTTAAGTAGCCAAGTGGATCTTAATGCCCTGGCAGTAACAATGTTTCGGTTGTTCTGCATTGATTGATGTTAAACGTAACTTCGAGCAAACCAATCCATCTGAATGTTTCTTTACTTTACTTCAATTGAAAATCGATCTCAAAACTAGTCTCGCTCTGCACTGTATTTTGCCGTCAATATTCAAATTTCAGAGTCTTTACATCGGGAGGTTATTTTTAAACGTGATTTATAATTCCTTTAAACCGGTAGAAAAGTTCACTATAATTAACTTTTGGAAGGTAAGTCGAATCCCGTATTTTCGAGAGGAGTTAAAAGACTAGACATTAGCTAGACATTGAAAGTTGAGCAGGAAAGGTAATAACCCCGGGAGTAATAAACGAGCAAACTGTTTCTAAGCCTTGGCAATCGAGTACTTTTAATTGGTTAGTTGGTAACCGTAATAAGGGCCCAACAACGTTCTATTATTTTGATTTACCTGACAGAGCTTTTTCTTCTAAGAAATGAAATAATTGTGACAATCAGAAAGAACATCTGTACCTCACCTTCCTCCATGCATGGTTGTTGCTCCTCGGTCTCCTCGTAGGTGTGAGAAAATAACCATTTGACCTATACCCATCCAAACCTCTTATTTCATTGGTTCGTGTAACCTGCACTACCTATTGTTTTCAGGGATAGGGGCAGGTGAATTTTTCGGCGCGAAAATACCTTCGACTTTGCTGGAGGGAGGGATGGGGGGTTGACGTCGTTGTTTTAAGCACTTTTTGCAATACACATATTTTTCGAGATTGGTAAAGATCATTATTAGGATGTTAGAACCATTTTTATGTTTTTTCTTTCATTAGGATTTATTTATTTATTTTTTTAACCTCTTGGATTTTTATCCCGTTACTCGTTTTCTCGTTACTCCATTACTCGTTACTCGTTACTTCGTTACTCTGTTTAGTAACACCCCGCTTTAAAAATGCAAATTGACGCGAACGAATTGAGTTGTTTTGTTTTCTTCTTTAAAAACGGAGTTTTTACATGTATAAAGGTTTGGCGATCGTAAATGTTGAATTCGGGCTTAGGATATGTAATAGACCTAACAGCCCAGTGTTGAGATTCACACGCTTTCTATAAATAGACCGTTGATTGGAAAAAGCGTGCACGCGCATGGATATTTCAAAGTGTTCCTCACATGTGCCGATCGGTTAGAGGTATAGGATGTAGAGGTGAAAAGGTCTCTCGTTAAAAACGATGTCGCAGTTTTCGTGCTCTTTTGCCGTGCACTGTACCAGTGAGTGTGACGTATCAACTAGATACCCCGATCGTACACAGTTTTTTCCTTTGAATTCTTGCGTCAGTGATGTAAAGGCGCACTTGAGAGAATTGCAAACAACACAATCATGTGTAGCCTCTGAGAGAGAGCTGATACTTGCTCGTGTCGGTTTGTTTGACGAGGAGGGTAAGGATATGGTTATTTGCCCAAAGCATCGCGTTTTACTTGGAGCAAAGTATTGTCCTTCAAGAAAATGCCAGCATCCGCTTCATGGTCGCCGTAAGGGTAAAGTGTCCAGAGGGGTGAACTTGAAAATGTCGAAAGAGATAAAGGAAACGTGGGACGTTTTGGTTCCCGTAGGCTCAGGTAAGCGTGATCACTGAAGGTAAATACGGTACTTATACATGCTTTGGTTTCTTGATGATTAAGCCTCATGTAAGGGAATCAAGACAGGATTCCAATCACTGTATTCCAGTATTTGTCAGGGGACTTGGGTTCTTTTTCAATCATTAGTGGGATTCCGGATTCCACTAGCAAAATTTTCTAGGATTCCGGAATCCGGATTCCCTTACATGGGGCAAATGATTGACTAATACACAAGTTTAGTCAATTGTTTTATTAATACATACACAAGTGGAAAGGAGTTTTTTTTTCTTTCTTTTTTTTTGGCGGGGGTGGGGGGAAGGATGGAAGATCTTGTAAGAAATTAATTATGAGTTATAGGGTATGATATTTATTTCGCAAAAGAATAACAAACAAACAAACAAATAAGCGATTGTGTGGTGAATTTTGATCTACAAGAGTTTTAATCTATTTTTAAATTTACCAGGTCAATTTGCCCTTCCGTTGTTTTCCTTTTTGTATCTTAGCTAGTTACGTTCTAACGGTAGCCCATAGTTATAGGTTCCTGCTTCTAATCGGTAATTTTTCTCCAGGAGGGGCGGGGGATAGGGCAATTCTCTCAAAAGCTACAGTGATTATACAGATTTTTTTTTGGCGAAACCTCAGGGCCAGGCCTTTTAATATAGAGCCCGGTGTCAGTTAAGAATGAGTGTTCTAGAACGGGGCGTGAAAATAAGCGCCTCACTGAAAAATTATCAGATTTTTGTTTAAAATCCGCACTGGAATTGCCGCTAATTATACATTTACTGATGGCCTACGCTGGCCTACCACATCGCGCGGACTTCTAGTATTTTCTACAGCACTAATCACTAATACTTCCAACAGGGGCCCTCTTTTGACTAGGAATGGCGGCACAAACCTATTTAGAATCTAGCTTGGTAAAATCCCTCCCTCTAGGAAATATTAGAATGCCTAAATGGATGCAGGCAAGCCGTTTATTGCTTGGGAAAAGTTCCAAACAGTTTGTTCTATTCAGCCTGTTACCACAAACTAACAAACCATAATGCTACCAAAACTCATTTTAGGTTTATTCTTGTACGCAGGGGTTTGTAGACAATGCCGTGGTGACCATCTAAGAACTCTAGGTTCTACTGACGCGGATTCCGAAGTACAAGATCCCGGACTGGCGTCCACGTCTCACCCAGAGCCTCAGATTCACGAACCTTCATGTTCTACGGAGTCTGCAGAGGAAATAGTAGAGCCACCACAGTTACTACCGCCTGCTACAGAAGAATCAGAACAATTGTCTGCTACCCCTGTCCTTCACGTAAGATTCCAAGAAGATCTCATTAGTGAGGTAAGTTCTTCTTCGGCAGTGTGTGAATGAGTTTACTGATTTCAAAGGGGCGGGACGTTTGCGTCACTTGCTTTGTAATTGTTGTCATAATCCACTGATCTTTAGAACAAATCAGGAAAGGAGGGAGAGGGGTCGTTGTTGCTTGATGCATTGGGCGTAATGTTGGTTCTCACACTAATTTGCATAGACTTTGAATAAAATCGGAATAGTTCGTTAAAATTGGTTGTTATACTGAGAGTCACTATATGGTTGAGTCATAAAATTTTCTCCTTTCAAAGAATACCTGTCTTCGAGTATGCTTTGCGGTCGTGGTTTCGAATGTTGCTCACTCTTATTTATCGAACTTCCTTTGAAGCATAAAGCGCGAAATTTAATAAAATATAATCATCAATAACTCGTAACAATTACTATTCAAAGCTCATTCTACTCCTGTTATTAATCTTAGAGAGGTTTGAGCAGATTCATATAGCGTTCATAAACAAAGCCAACCGGCGCAAAGCATACCGGCCAACAGGAATTCTTTAATGTAAAACTTGTGCACGCTGACTATACGGTAATGATGCCAAACTGATGGAATAATTAGATATTTCCTAGATACAGCTTTTTTCTCTTCCAGCATAGCGATCGCGACTCAGACCCCAGCGATCGCCATTCAGACGCTTTGTCGCGGACGTCTTCTGGATCCCAGGAGTCTCTTGGCGCAGCAGAGACGTCGGCAGAATGGCAGCCCACCCCTCAAATACAGCACCGCCTTTATTACCTTAATAATTTCCTCAGAATGGCTACTGAAGGCAGGGTCAGCCCGGTGAGGTCACAGTGCCAATGTGACGTTCTTACTATGTCATCCAGAACCCAGCGCTACTACCGGAAAAAAGCGGAGCAGGCTATCGAAGGCGTGCTTGAATCCATTGCCCCTGGCAACGCCTCCTGGCTCTACCACCAAGTCATGCAACGGCGGATTCGTTTACAAGCGGCCGAGGGTATAGTCGAAGACACGCTGGTTGCCAGACTGGTGATTCTGTATGAGGAAGCCGCCAATTGGTACACGAGACAACAGATCCTGTCGCTTTTCGTGAACGACTACTCGAAGAGCGAGCTATTGGCTTTGATTCCGGGTCTCTCAAAATGGAGAATCGACGAGGCAAGGAAGCACGCTTTCCAAACTAAGCCCGGGCAACCCATTGACCCACCAAGGATCACCAGATGCCGTTTGGATGCTGTGAAAGTTGACCACTTTCTTGACTTCTTGTCCAGTCCATCAGTTCTTCAAGATGTGGCATATGGCACCAGAACTCTTAAACTGGAGAGTGGAGAGAGCTTAGAGATCCCGAACATGGTGCGCACACTTATATCCTCCCACCTAGTGCGCATGTACCTGAACTTTTGTGTAGAGTCCAATTTTGAGCCTCTCGGACGCTCCACGCTCTTCAATATAATCAAGGTACGGATTATAAAACGTTCGTAAAGGACGAATTTTGATCAGGGTTAATTGTAGTTGTAGTAGTGGTGTAGTAGTAGTAATGGTTTGCATTTAGAAATTAGTTTGAAACGAAAGCATTTTGTTTCTCTTCAGGTTTGTGGGGCTTCACTAAAGAAATCGTTAGCCGGTCTTGATAGCACTCAGACAGATGGGGTACAGGCGCTCGCCACTCTTGAAGACATCACTCATCAACTCAAACAAGCCGGTGAGATACAAACACCTTCCATTATTACTGTAGGTGCACGAGTTGTCACAACTTTTAATAAGCTGACGGAGTATCAATATTTATTATTGTGTGTATTTTTTCTATCACAGGACTGGATAGCACAATGGCCGATAACATTCTAATGCGACTCAAAGCAGGTCGGCAGTATCTGAAGACGGATTTCAAGATCCACACAGCCAGCGAATCCCCGTGCGCAGATCACTGCAGAGTGTTCGCCCTCAGTAGGACAGAGAAAGAGTACAACGGTCAGTGCCAACATCAGCATACCATAACCTGTGACCGGTGCGAAGACCTAAAGAATGCTGTCTCAGATCTGCAACTAGCGTTGGATTCAGGTGAAGTACATCTAAGGTAAGAACATCTTTGTGACAGAAAAGCAGAGTTTAGCATTTATTGTCAACTAACAACCTAATCCCCAGGGCGCTTTATATGAGTTTCAGTTAGAAATTTTAAATTGCTTTGTGTGGTTCTAAACCTAATGAACATATATGTTTTAAATGAAACGCAGTTTACGAAAAAAGTGAGAGAGTCATCATTGTTTTTTGATAAAACGGCTCCAAAGAAAAATTTCTGACGCTATCGCGCCGTGATGTTGACAAGCTCTACTCTTTCCCTTTTTAGTCCTGATAAACGAGAGGAGTTACAGCATGATTTGAGCTGCGCTGCGCCGAGCATAGAAGATTGGAAGTCGCACGTTCTCCGTTCAGTTCACCAGGATGCGGCCAAGAGCGAAATTGTTGATAGCCTGAAACCATCACAGGTTCTGCTAATAATAGACTGGGCGATGAAGTTTATTCCCACCAGCTTTCGCGAAACGCAGCGCGACTGGTTTGGAAAGAAGGGGAAGTCCTGGCATCTCTCGGTGGCCATCACTAAAGCAGAAGATGGAACAATTGAGGTAGAAATCATGTGCCTACTCTTCTGTCTTTATCGCTCACTGACCACTATAAACTAGTTTCTCGTGAGCGCGGTCTTTGTTACGCTAACCGATTGCAAAATTGGATAACTGATAAGAATGCCAGGCCGAGAAAAGACGCGAAAGCTTAAATTCCGAAAAGTGAATTTCAACGTTTCATTGCTTTCCGCACTTATATAAAGATAAAACGTTGGCGACGCACGTAAGCGCGCGCAAAAGCGCATGGGACGGAGTACATTTTTAGTCCAAATAAAAGGCCATAAACATTCTCGAAAAAAGCAGACCTTCCCGGGTGTTATCTCTGTTTCAAGTCAAAATGCGCTGGTTAATACTCCATTAGCCCTTGACTGTGACCAGGTCCCTTGGCGCACTATTCATGGTAAAAAATGCTTTACTATTATGATTTTCAGACACGTACATATATCCACTTATTTGATGAATGCAATCAAAACTCGTTTAGCGTTGCCTCCATCATCGAAGATTCACTAACCACCATGAAGCGACAGAAACCTAGACTGAATGAAGCTTTCCTAAGATTTGACAACGCAGGCTGTTATCACTGCGCTTTTCTTCTTCTCAGTCTTCCAAGCCTTGGACAGCGAATTGGTGTCTGCATAGCTCGTTATGACTTCAGTGAGGCCCAAGCTGGCAAAGACATATGTGACCGCCGAGCCGCCGCCCTGAAGAGCCACATTAGGCGCTACATTAATGAAGGCAATGACGTCAAGACAGCAAGTGACATGAAAGCTGCTATTGACTCGCATGGGGGCGTCAAAGGCTGCTACTCAGTGGTGTGCAAGGTTGACGAAAGGTCCCAAAACATGACCAAGCACTCGCTGAGTGGCATACAGTCTTTGAACAAGTTCGTGTTCACTGAAAGTGGAGAGATGATCGCCTGGCGGGCCTACAATGTCGGACCCAGAAAGGTCTTTTCCGCGGCGTCGCTAGCGTGTCTCGGTACCACTCAAGGCCCGACAAACTTACAAGTTCTCCAGGCATTTAATAGTCCTGACATACTGACTGGTGTCTTCCGTGCATCTTCCAGCACGCAAGAACAGCAGCCCGCAGCACCTCCAACGGACCCTATAGCCGTAGAACGGATTCAGCTTGAAGAAGAAGAGCGTGTGGCCTTTGGCTGCCCAGAGGAGGGTTGCATAAAAGTTTACCAAAGTCACAGCAGCCTTCAGCGTCACCTCGATGGCGGGAAACACCTTCTTGCGTTAGAGAGAGAGTCCACGTACGACGTGATAAAGAAAAAGTGGGCAGAGACCTGCAAGTCAATTTCTGGTAGCTACGTGGAAGCAGCTCAGCCTCCCACATCTGCATCCGCCTCAGTTTCCCATAGCCAATCGGAAGACCCGCTGCCAACAGCTGACCTGGGCTGGGCATTAAAAAAGACCAAGAAGTCTGTTAATTTCACCACTAAAGTGTGCCAATTTTTGCGTGAAGTCTTCCTTCAAGGAGAGGACACCGGGAATAAAGCAGCGGCTGAGGATGTAGCAGCACGAATGAGATCCGTGCGAACCGCTGAGGGAATGAAGGTATTTACCAAAGACGAGTGGCTGACATCTACCCAGATCTCCGGATATTTCAGAAGAATGGCCGCATTAAACAGGAGTGGGGGTCTTCATAGAAGAAAGGAGGTGAGGCCAGCGCCAACAGAACCGGTGCCCGAGGGAGAAGAAAGCGAAGATGAGGAGAAAGACCCATATGAGGCTGAAGCTCCCCTTATCAGAACACGGCTTCAAATCAGGAGGGAGCTAGACTTGTAACTTTACCTTCGATGAGAGTGTTTGTCTGTTTGATTATATCTATTTTGACTTTTGTCTATGATAGTTCTTACAAAGGACAGTTCTTTAGGGCACAAGTCACAAAAACACGCAGTTGATTTTGTTTTCAGTGTAGCAAGGTCTTTCTGGGAAAGTTTTCTGCATCAAGATGCAATGTGGCGTTTCAAGTTTCAAGCAAATGTATTATTCCTTATTAGATGAACAAAAGTCAGTTTCATTATACGATCATTCTAACGTTCAAATACAGACACTGTAAGCATTTTGGTAGATTTCTGTGACTCTCGTGTTTCACTTAGCGATGAGTAAGTTCCGTCACGAAGTTCACTTGTACAATAATAGAGGTCATCATTAAGCCGTCGATTGTCATTTTCATGGCTTAAGACAAACATAAGCTTTTGAAATGGTTCAATTTCATTAAATTTTATAGTGTGTAACCATTTTGCTGCATTTTCTACCTGTTGCTATGTCTTTATTACCGAATTAGCAAGTTATGATGAAAAACAAAAATGAAGTGGGTATCCCGTGGTGGGCCAAGTTTTTTTTAATTTAAGCTATTAGATAGAAATGGTTCTATTTCATCAAAGTGTATGGTGTGCAACCATTTTGTGGCATTATTTGTCTGTTGCTGTGCCATAATTACCGAAGTAGCGCGTTATAATGGAAAAAATTGACGCGGGTACCCTATGGTGGACGACGTGTTTGCAGTCTTCCTGTGGAATAATTAAATGAGTGCCCAAAGATTTTTTTGCAGATAATGTTAGTATGAAGTCCCGCCTTCTAGACGGTATGCTCCGTTTTTGGAAGCATGCTCCGGCATTGGAGATGTTTTGGCCTAAACTTTGGATATTTCAACAATTTTCACTATTGGGTGAGAGGGGGGTCTTGGCTGAGATGACTTGTGTCATAGGAACTTGTCGTAGAAGAACGAAACAGTTATAATAAATTGTCTTTGGGTAGGATAACATTCACTGAAAATATGAAAAGGTTTGATGGAATTCTTTTAGCAGTAGAGCTTTATACTTTTGACCAATTTTTAGGTGTTTTTTGGTCATTTTTTTAAAAAAAAACAAGGGGGGTGGTCAACTCCCCCCGGTTTCGACCAAATTTCCTTAAACTTAGAGTGAAGTAGTTTTGGGTTGCCTGCGTGCAGACGTCTCCTATTTCCTTTGTTGCACGCGGAAAAGGGACGTCTGCGTAGCGCCGTCGCTAATCGTGTTCCAGCGTCCTGCTGGGTTCCCAAGATCTTGGGAACACGCTGTGATAGGCTGACACACAGTGCGCATTGTTTGACTTAACGCTGATTGGTTGTTACCGAATGTGGTCTGATAATGTATGCGGTGATTTAAATGATTTATGTAAGCGGGGTTTTCTAACCAAAACAAATCAAAACATGTGCGATTGTGTGCTGTGTTTTTCGTCGATCGAAAAGCAGAGCGATCGAAATCTTGTGCGGGGACGCAGAAAATTTAACGTGTACGAGGAAATTATTTCTTTACAATTTACTCTGCATGACACATCACATCATATTTGTAAACAGTGTCTGAGAAAACTACAAAAGCGGCGTGGACTTCGCACCAGGCAGGCATTTCGGAGAAAGCCAGCCAAAGAAACTAAAATCTTTATTTAGCCGTAACAAACAGAGGTCAAGAAAATTTAAACACTTTACAACTGCATCTGAAATCAAATCCTATCGGGAACACCCACAGAAGCATAAACCACAGGAAATGATTACTCAGTATGCATGTAACAAACCTGCTTCATGACCTCTAAATGGAAGACTTAGCGCGGCAAAAATGAGATTTACTCAGTCAAAGGTTAGAATGCTACATGCACTGTGTAGTGCTAGTGATCTTCGCGCGAGAGAGAAAAGAAGAAAAACCTCTGTTCAAGCAGACTCCCAAGGTCACGTTTCGCCCGTATCACGAGCTTATGATGTTTTGTTTGGCCTGTCAACTCTTATTTCTAACCGGATATTATTTCACAATTTATGCGAAATAGAATACCCTGCCAGCGGGACGCTGGAACACGATTAGCGACGGCGTTACGCAGACGTCCCTTTTCCGCGTGCAACAAAGGAAATAGGAGACGTCTGCACGCAGGCAAGTTTTGGGCGGACCCCTTCAAACTGGCCAAGTTTCATCGAAATCGGTTAGATGGCTTGTGCCGCCCCTGCCTGGTCCTTTCTTGGATGCACTCTTAAGTCCCTTTACTAATTACGTTGAGTGACGGTTGCTATGCTCAATTCCCTGTTATAATTTAATTAATTCTGACCAATCACTATTTTCCGGTGCTCAGAATCTGAGCGTGAAAAATGGAGAAAACAATGTTCTCCTTGCAGGCGTTCCTTTCCTTTCTCCCTCTCACTCACTCTTTTGTATATTGTGGCATGAAGCTTGGAACATCAGGCAATTGAAGCATTAACAGTTATTCAGTAGGAAGGGAGGGGGGAGAAGGCAGAGGGCCGGGTCGCTTTCATGGGGGATCCCGCCAGCTACGCAGACTACAAATGTACATGAAACGGCCACTAAAGTACGACCCAACTGCCAATTAATGTACACATTGTACCTCACTGTTCGGTTTTAATTTGCTTAACTCTTAGCTTGTTCATGTAATATTTGGTAGCCTGCGAACGCAGACTTACTTCCGATTCTTGCTTTTCTCCACCAAAAAAGTAACGATGTTACCTTAAGCGACAACTTGAAAAACGTCTGCGTAGACAGGCTTAGCCTGCGTTGCGGACGCCGGCTTTTTAGAGCGAAGGGAGAAATCTCGAGGATGCGCGCGCGAGGGCAGAAAAGGAGAGGAAACATCCTCTTCCCGTCGCGCGTTATCCTTTCGCGGCCTGTAGGCTACGAACCTACTTCGTTTTCACATAACGTCATGACCGCCATATCGGTGTACCACAACAATGAAACCTGCTGCCATGTTACTGTCATTTTTTTTAATTAGTAGGCGGGATGGCAAAAACATTGGCTTCCTTGCAGACGTTCCCCTCCTCCCTCCTCCCTCGCGCGTGGTCCCGTGCCCTAATTCCCTTCCCCTTCCCTTTCGAACGCCAGCCACGCAGGCTAATAAAAACGCTTTGTTCCAATAAATTGTATACCTGCCGACCACGTGAGTGAAAACGATTTATTGATGTATTTTGATTGTGCTGCGTGCTGATATGCTGTAATCAGCATTTTCAATAGGAAAAATGTTCTTCATTTTGGTCCCTCCAAAACAGGAGTCATATGTTACACCCTCTGACTCAGAACAGGCACCTTAGTCTCCACAACAGCCTCTTACTTCTGTCCCAAGGGTACCCTGGTTGACAGAGGCTTTTCAAGCACGGTTTCCGGTCTCGGATTGAGCGAGACACAGTCTAGACTAGACCGCGAACGATCGTCCTGCTTTCCTTAGAGCCACGGGCGGCGAGCGAAAAAGTAAAATTATGAAAATTTTAAAATGGCAAAAAAGGAGGAGTGACTGGGGCGGGAGAGGAGAAAGGACGACCGCAGAGTTTCAATCGTACTTTGAATTACCGTTTCAGGGAAACGGAAATTGCGATTGGTCGCCTACTTGTCAATCTGTCAAAAACAAAAACAGCTCAGTCCCAAAGGAGTGCAATTTTTACGGCGGCTTTTTGCAGCACATGGCGAACAGACAAGGTCCGTGAACTGCACTCCACTGTTCCAAATGGTCTTCAAGGAACGCAATTGCTTTTGTGGAACCTTGACTAACTTCTCGGTCAAAATATGTCCTCTTTTCGCACCATAGTTTTTTTAGTACGTGAGGATGAAAGGACAATTTCAGTTAGTTTGCCCGGTCTATAACATTGCGAGGCTTCTGGACCCTTTTTGCTTTCTTTCTCGCTTCCTTTGAGAAACTCCCCTTTTTTTTCGGGATTTTCATGATTTATTGCGCCACCATTATTGCAATATCTCACCGATAACTGGAGAACTATGAGATCCTTTTTGAAAACCATATTTTATATGAAAAAGTCATCTCAATAAAGATTATTATTATCATCATCATTATTATTATTATTACTATTATAACCAAACAGCAGTGAAAAGACAATCGAAGACAAGCTGTTTGTTTACATCGAAAAGCTTGCGAAATAAAGGGATCGAGGAGCTGTCAATAACAGCAAAAAAGGAGGCGTGAAAAACGGCAAATCGCCAGATCAGAGATCCTATCGCAGGCTCTTATTTATTTTTCGCTTGGGCTCCGCCCTCGTCTCCCGCAGCTTCGCCGCTCGCCCCTCGCGCCCGTCCTCGTTTCTCGTGCTTGCATTCTACCGTGTCTCAAAAGAAAAATAAGACACTGCTCACAGTCTAAGTCTAGACGGGATTGAGGAACCCTATGTGGGGGCCTCCTTACAGACGCAAGCTAAGGCGTAAAGACTAGTTTAGTGCTCTTGGAATACCAACAGTATATTACCATTGAACGGTGATAAGAACAAAAAATCATATGAAAAAGAAAGAAAGAGTGGCAAGAAGACTGCACTTTGCTGACTATACTTCTGCATAATGTAGGCAATAGATACATCAAAATCAACAGATAATCACAGTTAGAGGAAATGAATGAGACATAAAAGTACATGACAAGAATCTTAATCTGTATTTCAATATCAATAGACAGAGATTTTACTTGTTGATATCAGTCATTACACAAGACACTCTACAAAAACCAGATCGAACATGTTCCTTTAAAAAAAATGGCCTGCGAAAACATTCGTTTCTCCTTGCTCTTCGTCTCCGGGGACGTTTCGCGAAGAGGAACTTCTGTCGCTGAGTCGCAGACGTTCCTCCGCGCGAAACGTCCCCATCGGCAAAGAGCGAGGAGAAACGGATGTTTTCGCAGGCTATTAAAAAACACTTGTTTCTTCATTTGAAGCACACTTAGAGGTCCTCGAAGAAAAAATAATTAGAAGGGTAGCCCACCGAGACAAAAATTCTTGTCGAGGCAATTTAAGAACAAGATACATGAACAAATAACTTCCAGCCGCTTCCTTGCCTTTTAACTTTCATGCTTCAGGCCTGTCAATATTACAACCTTGATCTCTGACGTACTATCAAAAATTAAATTCATCCTCCTTTTAAAAGCGTACATCCACTTTTTTGTTTATCTTAGAGGCCTCATTAAAAGAAGCTGCACCAACGGGACTCACACTGTTATCAGTCAAATCCAATTTGTTTAGGGAGGAGTTTGCTTTGAGGGCCTTGGAAAGACAAGAAGCAGCAGTGTCGCCAACTCTGTTACCAGTTAAATCCAAATCAGTCAGGTAGGAGTTTGCTTTGAGGGCCTTCGAAATAGAAGAAGCACCGGCGTCGCCAATTTTGCAAAAACTCAAATTCAGATTAGTCAGGGAGGAATTTGCTTTGAGGGCCTTTGAAAGAGAAGAAGCACCGGTGTCGCCAATACTGTTTATACTCAAATTCAAATTAGTCAGAGAGGAGTTTGCTTTGAGGGCCTGGGAAAGAAACGAAGCACCGGCGTCGCCGATTCTGTTATAACTCAAATTCAAATCAGTCAGGGAGGAGTTTGCTTTTAGGGTCTTGGAAAGAGAAGAAGCACCATCCTCACCAATAGAATTACCCTTCAAATTCAAAGAAGTCAGGGAGGAGTTTGCTTTGAGGGCCTTGGAAAGAGAAGGAGCAACACCGTCAAAGAGGTTGAAACTCAAATCCAAATGAGTTAGGGAGGAGTTTTTTTCGAGGACCACGGAAATCACAGCAGCACCAAAATTCTGTATTTCAGCGGAGGATAAATCCACTTCAGTGAGGGAGGACATGTCAAGGTGCGTACCGAAAGTATATTCAAAGCAAGTTAGCTCTCTCTCCTCATCTTTCCATTTCCCTTTTACAAGGCGGCTGTAATCGCATTCAAAAACACACGCACAAGCCAAAGTCATATACGATTTAACTTTTTGGTGGGATGTACGTAGAAGACCACTGATGTGCTCGGCCATACTAATAAGGATGGATTCTCCAATTTCGTCCCTTTTGAATGCTATGATTCCACTCATGACCAAAAAAACATCTTTTAGTTCCTTCAAATATCTTTCATCGGTTAAAACGTCGGCAAAGTCAATTTGTCCGTCGATAACCTGAAACGCCAGATAAAAACCAGCAAAAAACTCCTGAAAGCTTTTGTGTGAAAATACACAGCGCGTGCAAGGTTTTCTCCTAGTGCAGCCTCGTTGAAAAGACAAGAATCCAAAATTGTCGATATCCTTCTCTTTTTCAAAGTACGACTTCCCCTTATGAAGGGAATCTAACGCGAACCGGCCCAAAAGTTTGAGTTTTTCCCCATAAACTGAAATCAAGTCTTGATCTAAAGCTTTTGTGTGAAACTACACAGCGCGTGCAAGGTTTTCACCTAGTGTAGCCTCGTTGAAAAGACAAGAATCCAAAATTGTCGATATCTTTCTCTTTTTCAAAGTACGACTTCACCTTATGAAGGGAATCTAACTCGAACCGGCCCAAAAGTTTGAGTTTTTCCCCATAAACTGAACTCAAAGCTTGATCTTTTCTGCTTTCAATTCCATTTTTTTCTTCATATCTTCTTAAAGCAAGGGTAACGATTTCAATGTACAATCGGGTTCTGCTGCTTTCAGAAAAAAATTTTTCGGAATCTTCGAAAATACAACAGAGTAAACTCAAATTAAGTGGATTTTTCGCCAAATCGGAGAGGCCGCGGTGTTGAGGATCAGGTGGGTCAGTATACCAATGTTCAACATGATAATTAAAAAACTTCTCAGCTAAGCGATCCTTGCCCTGAAAATATTTTCTGATAAAGCTTTTAGAATCCTCTTTGGTGAATCCTACAATTTCCCAGAGGTTGTCACAGCTTACTTTCTCTCTAACCTCATGACGCGAAGTAATGATAACGTGACAAGCTGGGAGGAGTTTACACGTGACCAGTGAGAGGTAAATGTCTCGTTCACAGGGGTCTGCCTCATCTAATCCATCTAGCAATAGCAGAACTTTGGACTGATTTTCCTGAATGTATTTAAAGAACGTCTCCTTGTCCTTTTCGTCGATATCTTCAGAAAGAATTTGTTCATCAATAGCTTCCCAAATGCTAGATTTTATGTCGTTCAATCTAAGCAAGAGCAGAACTTCAATCTCTGGAAAAGACGCGTCCCATTCATTTTGTTTGTTTGCCCAGTCATACGCCAGTTTTTGTAAGTAGGTAGTTTTTCCCATTCCAGGATCCCCTTCGATCAAAACTTTACGTGGCTTCTTGCACTTCGAGTGGGGCCTGAAGATGCTTGTCATGTTGGTGATTTCATCGTCGGTCAATGTTCCTCGTGTTGCTTCTCTGTTCACGATCTTCAATCGGGTAAAAATATTATTCAGGTTAAAACTAGGATAATCACACCAAGCGAATGGAGCTAGTTTCCCTTCACGGCCTTGGTAAAGCTGACGAATCTTTTCTGTGATATAAGCGGGCAACCCTACGAAGACAAAATAGTACAGATAAGATCGACTTGGCTTTTTTTTTTAACAGGGGCACAAATCGTGCACGTTAAGGTGGAACGACGATATAAAACACCGTCTACACATAGCGAAGTCCTAGCTCGGAAAAACAAACGATATTCTTCGCCTGGCTCTACTAGTAGTAAAATACATAGAAAAGACCCCTAGCTTGGTCCTTCGTTATATGAAGGTTCCAGGATATACAATATACGATACGGTATACTTTATAATTATTTGTAATATGTGTACAACAAATTAAATATAGAGGAATTTGTATTTATTTATTTATTTACCAGCGTTTCTGGACAGAGGCCTGTCCAGAGGGAATGTGCACGAACGGGACTCAGGTCCCATGGGAGATGCCATCCCTGCCCAATCCCACAATCCGTAAAGGTTGACCACACCACCGGGGTCTACGTCCCCTACTCTTTTCGAATAGTGAGGTTGGTTCTTTTACGTCCCACAAGAACAAATCAGTGAAAGTGCTGTGAGACCGGACCTACGGTTTTTCGACCTTATCCGAGAAGACTGAAAAGTCTAACCATTTGCAGATGTCATTACAAAGGCAGAACTTTCTTCTCAGTTATTTAAAGACCCTAAGTGTTGGTCCGACCGGGGTCTGAATCCGCGACCTCACGCTCGGCAGACCGGCGTTCTCCCAACTTAGCTAACCATGCGGCAGTATGGAACATTTGCAATGATTCTTAGACTCCTAAAAGAGGCGTGAATTCGGGGATAAATTCTTTTACTAAATAGCTACTTTGCCTTTGCGTTTTTTTAAAGTTTTGTCAAGAGCCATAATAGGACCTCTTGGTTTTGTATTTTGGACTTAGAGGTGAACTTAAACGGGCGTGTGGTTACTTGTTTGTGTATTATTTTCTTCACTGCAAAACGGTCCGTTTCGTCTGCTTTACAAAAGGCTGTTGGCGTCTGGTTACTTGTTGGTGCATTATTTTCTTCCTAGACTGCAGAACAGTCCATTTCTTTTGCTTTATAAAAGCTGCCGCTCAAGGCATGAGACGCGTGAGTTCGCGCGAGCACCGCACGCAATCTTTTACATGCATGTCTGCGTCTCTCCACAGTGACGCTCATGCAGTCTCTACCCCAGAGCTCTTCTACACATAACCGCCAGGGAGAGAGTACTTGAGAACCCTAGACAAGGTTTTCTCTGATTGTTTTGAAAGCGGTTTTGATTAGTTCATTCAAGGTCGCCGGAGAGGTGAACTTGCGAAGTGTTGAGCACGCGAGCGCCAGCCTGAGCATACAAAGGACAAGAAAAGTTAAATCAACAAAGCCAGCCGATTTTCGGTTTTAGCGAATCCAATAAACTCCTCAATTTCTAATAAAATATACCAGCTAGGGTGCGTATTCGAAAATTTACCAAGAACCAGACTTAATAAAGTGATGTGTGTCTCAAGTGAGAAGCATAGCAAAGAATAAGGACTATTTTCTCAAGATATCGCATTTTGTAGTAACAATATTAATGAAAGTAATAAAAAAAATTAACTACGTGGCGAAAATTGCGAAAGAAATAAACAAATAAATGCAAGTCTTAAGCGACGCTAAATTCATAATTTATTTGAATTGATAATTATACATCTACCCTTAAAAATATGGGTTACGCTTACCACTTGGTGGGGTTCACCACCCTTGAAAATTAACTATAAACGTGGTGTCTTCAGCTTTTATAAAACGAAGGAGCACAGCGCTCAAAGATGTAAAAGGTTATCGTTAATGTAAGCATTTGGTTTTGTATAGAGAAGAGTGCGCTGTGAGGGTTGTTTAGCTACTTTGATATGTACGTAAGTAGAGTTTCCCACAGCTACCGCGCGGAGTCAGAGACGTAAACTCTGGAGTCGAGAATGAGTTTTGCTCTCCATTTTCCCCTTTCGTTTGATCACGAGCCCATTTGAATTAGTGACAAAACGCAAAATAATACCGCGGTTTTTTCCGTAGCTAATTTGTATGCCGTGCGGTGCAACTTCGGACGCCACGCTTTGGAGAACTCAGGGGCCTGGGGAGTGGGGTTGTTGGGCTGCTTTGGTCACTTTTTGCCGGGTATGTGCCGCTGGCCTCTTAGCGTGCGTAGCAAGCGTTTCCAATGAAGTTATTGCGCGAAAGTTAGAGCGGGAGAAAAAAAATTCCCTCCCCCTCCCCCGTCATTCCTTTATTTTTGGCTCTCGTCCCTGCAGCTTATTCGACGAACTCGCGAGGAAACGCTTACCACACAGGCTACTGGCCTCTCAGAAACGCAACCTATTATAGTCTATTGTGTGGCCAATTATAGACCCCATATTAGTCAATTTTGGGCAAATGTAATGAATTTACTTAGCCACTTTCTGTTTGTGCATTTACAAGTATATTAGGCTTTTAAACTATTGGCCAGTCTTCCAAAAAGGAATTCACACCTTTCGTTTTTTTTTTAAATTCCTAGATCCAGAAAATGTGCGAACCCATTCTAGTAACTATTGATAACGTAACCCCATTATAGTCAATGATCCAGTCGTGAAAATGCGACCCCACCTAGTGGCACATCCCCATCAGCCCGTTACTACGAAGTAGCCTTATAATCCTGTTTGTTTCTTTGGAAATGAAAGGTGTCTTTAAAACGCTTACAATTCAATGTATCGTTAGGGATACCTGCAGGATGCTGCTGGGTCATGGATTCAGGTTTCTGAGATGTTCTGGCGGAAAATCTTCCAGTTTTGGTTTGCGTTGAGCTCTGATCATCACACAAGGCACCTGGTGAACAAAACATTAGGGAATTACAGGGTAACTCACCACAAAGACTCCCGCTCAGTATTGCCTGAAAAATAATCACCTATAAAAATCTGGCAACAGGCTCTTATTGCTAACGTCGCAGCAGGGATTATGCACTTAAACGCCTTATTAGGATCGTCTAAAATGAAAGTAAAGCAAAGAGCGCAACAAGAAGAATGGGTCAGCTTTATAAAGAAGAATATTTTTAGTTTACATATTACCTGCATGGTGCTCAATTAGTTTCCGCTTTCTACGGCTTTCGAATTGAGCCACTAAGAGATCATCATTCACTGAAAGATCCAGGCAAAGACAGCATTAGCATTTTGGGCCGTACTTATTGGTGATTACACAATTTATTTTATTTTTTGATGAGAAACATGTACCCCGACGATCAACGTTATCATGTAGACTAAGAGATGAGAGAGACTCAATCTTGAATGTTGAGGTAACGCCGCTTGGATATTCTCTAATGAATTAATTTTTAATACCTCCCATACCAGGAAGTCCCATGACATGATATACAACCTCTGACCCGTTTTTGTTGATGCCTAAAAGTAATCGTTTTTGCCCGTTGCATACCTGAGTGTGTGTAACAGTTCCGTTTGCTTTTATTAACGCTCCGTCTTTGCCTGAGTTAAAGGCCATCACCCACCGCCTAACTATGGCCACCCATGGCCACGATTAGCCTATGCTATTGGCAATTAACTAATTAAAGACTAAAATAAAGATAAAGAAAAATGATGAATGTGCCTTTTGATCTGAGGATCTGAGATTCTTCACTGTCTTACTAGCAGCATTCACGCAGTCCTTTTGCTGAAGCCGGCAAATTCGTTTTAGTTTTAGTTTTACACGCTTTTCTGGACACAGGCCTGCCCAGAGGGAACGAACGGGACTCACAGGTCCCATGCAAGGTGCCATCCCTACCCAATCCCACAACCCGTTAAGGTTGGCCACGTTCCCTACTCTTTTCGAACAGTAGTGTGGGTTCTTTTACGGCCCACAAGAACAGATATGTGAAAGTGCTGTGAGACGGGACCTACGGTTTTTCGTCCTTATCCGAGAAGACTGGAAAGTCTAAACATTTGCAGATGTCATTAGAAAGGCAGCACTTTCTTCTCAGTTATTTAAAGACCCTAAGTGTTGGTCCGGCCGGAGTTTGAACCCGCGACCTCCCGCTCAGCAGACTGGCCAACTGAGCTAACCAGGCGGCCGTTATAATTCAGCCTGTTAACCCTACGCTTTTTCATAATCCACTAGACTAAAAAGAATTTATACCTGGGTAATGAGGCCAAGTGCGAAAAACACCAGGATCACTTAATATGTGTGAGACAAGAGATGCTGCCATCGCACTAGCACAGGATTCCCAACTTTCTGCAGTCGCTTGCTCACCATTCCCAACATCAGCTATCCCTTTAACAATGAGCCATTCGAGTTGAGTATCAAATGCAGCTGTGAAAACACCTGAAATATGGAATACAATTGGGAAGAATACTTTGTATGTAAATTAAGTCTTACGGATTAAAAAAAATGATAAAGAAACTAATAAGTAAATTGCTGGTGCATGGGCGAACATGTAATACTTCACCTTCAAAAAATATTTTTGAAGATTAAACTTTAACGAAAATTTCTTACTTGCATATCAGTAGATTGCAAACTAAAATGAAACTGACCAGACACAGGAGCCCATAAAGTGTGCCAGATTATGGTTTTTACACAGTTTCTTTTGTTTTGTTGACTGTAACTTTTTTCAAAGAACATTTTTCATGTATCTTCCCTATTCTGCTTTTTTTCTTGCATGTTAACATTCCCCCACCAAGAGGGTTGCTCCACCACTCGATCTATAAACTACACGCAACCCGAAAAACAAGTGTTTGTATGTTCATTTCAAGATCACTAAGAAAAGAAGGATGCACGCAGGTAGAGATAGATCACCTCTTTAAGGCTATTGTTTTGCCAAAGATCACGTACGCACTTTTAATCTATGTAGCCAGCCAGGTAGATTTAAACACCATACAATGTTTTTTTAAAAGGTACAATAAGCGACGTTGCACTTCTGAATTAATTAATATCTATGACCTTCTAGAAAAGTGTGACCGCAGGTTGTTCACCAAAATTAAGAACAATATTAACCATCCATTATATCAACGGCACCCAACGAAGGTTTCCTCCTAAATACACTGAAAACACTTTTTAGGCTATCCAGAGTACTACTAGATATCTAGAATTGCTTTCTACAAGGCGGCGCTATAAAATTTGTATCTGTTCGGTCATCCTAGGGGAACTTGAGTCTTTTCTAAATTACAAGGGCTTTAGTATTATTTAAGCAACTGAAGGGCTTAAAAGTGAAAAAGGCCACTGGTTTGGATGGGATTTCGGCTCGGTTTTTGAAAGATGGCGCTTCGGTTATCGCTCCCACTGTGACATTTCTTGTAAACTTATCGCTCAGTACTGGAATTGTTCCAAGTGATTGGAAGATGAACCGTAAGTCATAAGTCTGGTGGACATGAAACTATGGACAACTACAGACCAATCTCCATATTGCCGGTTATGTCGAAAATTATGGAGAAAGCTGTCAACGTTCCATTACAACGGTACCTACAGAGGTTTGACCTTTTGAGTCCATTTCAGGCAGGGTTTAGACAACACCATTCAACGGAGAGTGCTGTGATCTATTTCACCGATGAGATAAGAAGAAGTGCAGAGTCGGGACAGTTAACAGGTGCTTTGTTTATTGATCTAAGGAGGGCCTTTGATTCTGTGACGCACAAGGAACTCTTATCCAAATTGAAAAGATTTGGCTTCGGAGAAAATTCGATTAATTGGTTTACAAGCTATCTATCCGACAGATTTCAAGCTGTCTCCCTGGATAACGAGTTGTCGAGTCCCTTAGCTCTCCTAAGTAGAGTGCCTCAAGGGAGTATCCTTGGTCCGGTTTTATTTACGTTGTATATTAATGATCTACCTTCCCGTGTTGATGTCTGTAAAGTTATGATGTATGCTGATAATACAGTTATCTTCTTCTCAGCTCCATTAATATCGGAAATTGAGTTACAGTAAAATTTGGAACTGATTAATCTGTCTGAGAGGCTGTCTACAAATAAAGTGATTCTGAATTTAAGGAAGACTGAGTTCATGGTTTTTGGTACCCACCAGAGACTATGTCGCCAAGACATCGATGGGGCTCATATAACGTTGGGAGGAGAATCTGTGAAACACTGTGATGCCTTTAAGTACCTAGGCGTAGTTTTGGACAACAGTCTTTCCTTTAATTTGCATATTAACTATGTGAAGAAGAAAGTTTCTAAAACACTGGGGATCTCCTCAAGAATCAGATCATCATTAACAACTGAGGCATCGAACCGATTGTATAAATCGATGATACTCTCCAAATATGGAATACTGTTGTGCTGTTGTGCTGTTTTTCATGGCTGTGGTAAAGGAAATGAAGAAGAATTGGAACGCCTGCAGAGACGTGCTACTAGGATAGTGCTAAAGACGGTGCATTTGTCCACTCAAGATATGGCTTCTGGTCTTGGTTGGAACCCTCTTAAGACGAGAAGAGAGAAACATATCGTCAAACGTGTCAAGAATTGTCTTGATGGACAAGCTCCAAGTTATTTCTCTGATTATTTTCGACGGCGAACTTATGATATTCGTGACTATGACACCAGGTCTAAGGATAGGTTATCTATTGATAAAGTCAATCTCGAGTTGACTAAGAGGGCCTTTTTAGTGATTGTAAGTAGTTTTGTTCATAAGGAGGCTGCCTTTTTTATTGATTATAATTATGTAACGTATCCCAGTTTCGTATATAATTAAGCTTTTATCTTTTTATTCATTTATTACAGGACCCATATTGGTATTAGTTTTTATAACTGAAATGGCCATCCTGTTTAAACATGTTATTATTATTATTATTATTATTATTATTATTATTATTATTATTAAGATCCAGACCTGGATCCTAAATAAACTTCTCACGTGATGCCCTTTTTACAAATTGCCTTTTTTGCGATGCCTTTTTGTGTGTTGCTTTTTGCGTTATACCTCTTTGTGTGTTGCCTTTTTGCGTGTTGGCTCTTTGCGTGATGCCTCTTTGCGTGTTGCCTTTTGCGTGATGTTTTTTTGGGTGTTGCCTCTTTGCGTTATGCCTTTTTGCGTGTTGGCTCTTTGCGTGATGCCGTTTTGCGTGTTACCTTTAAGCGTGATGCCTTTTTCTGCGTGATACCTTTATGATAGTGGCTTTTTTAGTATTTCTTCCTTTTAGCGTGGTCTTTTGTATTTCAGCTGCAAGTACTTTCCTTAATATACCTGCGAGGTACTAGAGTGCCTCGTCGGGATTTCGCGTTCTTGGCGAAATCCCTGCGGGGGAAATTAATTTCGCGATGGAAACAAAGGCAAAAAAGTTAAACTGTCTTTCGTTATATTAAGGACTAAATATATTTTTTTCCGGGCCAAATTTCAGAGCTCTTGCAATTAACAAATTAAGGAAAGTTATTGCAATGTTAAACTGAAGTGTCCGGATACTGGGCGACATACTCAGTATGCCCGTTTGCCGAAGGTCAAAGAGTGATCCAAGAGGTTAGGATCACAAGCAAGTCATGCAGTTACCACGGATTAATACAGAACGTTTTAAGAATTGTTACTTTAATAGAATAAGGTTTAAATACAACTTAACAATATAGATATCCAATGTTTTATCAGGTTTTATATGATAATTGTAAACAATCTGTGCGATTTTCATGATATGTATACTTCAGTCTCTGTAACGTTTATTAAGTATTTTAACGGGCGAAATAAAGACATTTATTATTATTATTATTATATTAATTTCAAAGATCACATGTATGCCTTTTAGACAGCAAACAGTTTTTTTTTTTTTTCGCAAAATCGGTTTTGCAAGGCACGAAGCGCCAGCGTGATATTTTTGACCGAAGTGCGTGGGCCTTATACACGCTCGTAGGGTTTCTCTCCTCTTCTTTAAAATTTGCGCTGAGATGGCGGCAAGCATACGCAGACTGATCGCTGATCGTGTCCCAGATCAGGTGGAAATTGACAGCCAAAATGGCTCGAAATGTATTGTTATATTATGTTTTAAAAGAACAAACCGAAACAATATACACTCTTTTTTTCATATATAAGAATTTTTTTTTCAGCCTAGGCTGAATATTCTTATTTTTCTGCAGATCGTAGGCTGAAAATATTCTTGTAATCATTCTTGGCTACTTTTGCCGTTTACTGTTTAGAGAGAGGAATAAGTTGAAAGGGTATGCATGATTGTATTGTATTTACAGATTGAACAAACAAAAACAATATCCTTTTCAAAATCTCAGCCTGGGGTTTATTAAAATATTCTTAAAATTAATTTACTTAATTATTCAGCCTCGATATTCTTTCGAAATATATCTTATATAAAAAATAGAGTGTAATTACCACAAAGTAAGAAACAAGTTATAGGAAAAAATGAGGGAAAAAACTTTTTTTCTGTTGTATGGAGGTGTTCATTATAATATTTTTCGTCACTCTTTTAAAAAGGTTTGGGTATCATACAAGTATTTATTACTGAATGATGTCAAAAAGCTTGCCTGTTGAGATCGCAAATTAAAGCAATAAGGGTAATTTGATTTAAAAAAAAAATGAATCGGTCCCAGCCTTGAACTTAAACGTTTGTGACACTTTACGTGCGATGGGCTTGAGCCCTTGTTAGGCGTTTTAGCTACGAGAGTTTTCACATGACGCCACGGAGGCCATATTGGTATTCCAAACGGTGAACCAATCCTTTTTTTTTGTCAAAATAAATTTTGCATAGATGATGGCCACGTTAATGGAAACACTCTATAAAAAATATATTGTTCACAGCTAACGTGACTTACGGTGTATGCACTCACCTTCCTCCTCCATCTCCACTCCTGTTGCAAGGGGATGGCGGTCGACAAGTTCTTTTCGGCTCCATTCAGCTCTGATCTGCTCTGGGACACTTAAAAACTCGCCATTTCAATGAACTTTGATCTGGCGATCTTCTGGGTTCTTTAAAGGTGCCTGCCATCTATCAGCGCAGTTCGAGATTATTTTTGAGAAAAGCCTGCTCACGTGACTACTCAAGCCAGCTGATTGCTCTTGATCGCTTGTCCCCCCTTTGGATGCATATGTTGTTAACTTGGCTGATACAACAATGTCACCTAAATTGGTTTTGTCAGGGTCGAGACCACTGCAAGCCCCAACAGATATCACGGCCTTGGGTTGTAAAATAGGAGCCGCATTCTTCACGGCAATCAGAGGGCTGCTTGGGCCAGTAAAACCTTCATTACATCTTAACAGTGCTATTTTTACTATCTCTTCATGACTTTGAACGTTGTTGAAGTAAACGTAACCAACATCCTTGTAGCAATATCTGTAGGGGCCTGTTAGCTCATTGTAACAAGCTAAGAACTCGCAGTCCTTAACCGTTACTAGTAGAATATCAACCGGTAGATCTGGCTGTTTCAGTGTTGTTGTAACATCTTTTATGGATGGAAGACCAACAGCCAGCTGAGGTGGGCCAACATCGCTGTTATTTGTATCGTAGTTCGTCGCAGCTTCTGACGTCATGTCCATTTTTCATCTATATCGCACTGGAGACACAAAAAGGTAAAATAGTTTGAGATCTTATGTAGCACCTTTATCAACCAAACAACTACCAAAATGACACAAGGTATTTAAAGAATATTAGAAGGTATTCAGGTGAGTGGTTTTACTTGAGCCGTGAAATAGGTGGTAGAATTTTTGTTTACATCTCGCTATTTTGCACCATTTATTAGTATCTGTTTCACGGTTCAAGTAAAATCAATCTAAGTAATTGCACAAAATATTTTTCCCGGAGGGAAAATTCTTTATCTGCAATTATCAAAATCTGAATTTATTTCCTTTTTAATATATATATATATATATATATATATATATATATATATATATATATAAATAAAAAAAAAAAACACTTTATTTGAGAGTGTATGTATTTAGCACGAAAAGTATTTATTGTAAACACTAATTTTTTTTTTCATACTGGACTGGAGAGGGGACCGAAATTTAAGGTGGTCATCCACGCCAAGAGAAGAACCCGCCGTTTGCAGGAAAAACAAAATACACAGGTGTCCCGAGAGCTTTGTTTCTTTTTTTCGGTATTTTTGTTTGGCATTATTTATCGCAATTTATGTCTGTTCTGATTGACAAACTTTATCAATATTTCAATACTCTATTCACGGAGCTAGGTCACTTTTCTGTTGCAAAATATGTTCGCGTTGTTTTTTTTATTAGTATATATTTAGATATATAAATTAATATATATTTATATATATATATATATAAATGAAAAAAAAAAACACTTTATTTGAGAGTGTATGTATTTAGCACGAAAAGTATTTATTGTAAACACTAATTTTTCGTTTCCTACTGGACTGGAGATGGGACCGAAATTTAAGGTGGTCATCCAAGCCAAGCGAAGGACCAGCCGTTTGCAGGGTAAAGTCAGTACTCAGGTGTCACGTGAGCCTTGAAATATATCACGCGATCAACAAATCTACTTCAAAACATACCTACAAGTACATTAAATGTAAGACTTGATGACTTGCAACTCCTTTCTGGTAGAAATCAAGCCATCATATTTCAGGTTTAGAGAAAAACTGAGCGCGTTTCGAAGGTATGAGTCGACAATAGTGTGTTGACACTTAATCTAGTAGCCTCTGAAGCAGACGGGAAGATCTTGAAATATAAAAATCTCGTGATAGACTACTTTTTCCAGTCGAAAGTCAAAGTGAGAATTAGTCAATGCCCATTACAACACAAGTTGAACGTCAAACTAAAAGCACAAGAACCTAGTATTTCTCGCGTTAGGGTTCAGTGAAGTCAACTGATTTAAATAATTAACCCAGAAATAAATCGTCTTTACTTCTGTTACTTAGCCAAGCTAACGTATGATCTGAATAGGGTTAAAGGACTAGCGACAAACGGCAAAAAATATAACTGACTACCGACAAAACGAGAAAAAAAATTACCGACTGCCGACAGGAAACTCACCCGTTAGCCGACAACCGACCATATGGCCCAACATTGTGGGGATATTTGTATTCAGAAATAAATAGTATTTTGTTTAAAATTAGTTTTTTTCATTTTCCTTTTTTGTCAAAAGTATTTCGCTTGATTTGTTTCAAGCACATAGAGGGTCTTTTAGTTTGCTCTATTTCAGACCAGAGGTACGTAAATTACTTTAAATTCCAGTTTCGTTACTCAAAGAATTTGACATAATAAATGTGCTTCACATGTTGCAGACACTGACCTTCGTGCTGGGATTGGTCTCCTCAGCCACCTTCCAGTGCTGTCAACTCTCCCGGATAATCCTGTAGACTCGACTTTCCAACCAAAAAAATTCAAATATATTGCGTTTTTTGAGCTATATACTGTTAACATGGAACGTTTCCTCATAAATTCTGGTATGCCACTGTAATTTAAGCAATAATGTGGCTAAATATGAACTGTTTATGTGCTTTATACGTCGATCGGAGTTAACGAGCATTTTTGGCACAAATTACGCCATTTGTCGTGCAATATAACGCCATCTATCTTTAATTTCCTTCTCTATCAATTCTCAATATTTGATGACGTGGGGGGTTCACAGCCCTGACCTTCGGACTCACAGAACTTAAGTAGCTGTGTCATGGGAGAAGTCATGGTCATCGGATTTCAATGTAAAATGTTTGGTGATTTTATCGGTCTTTGCAAACAAAGTTGAAACTAACGATCGCGTGGCTAAACAAACCAGACTTACAATGAAGTTCCATTGCAATCATATGATGAATTGACGATGAATGAATGCGGAAGTTATATACTTGTTTAGAGTTTAAACTGGTGAATTAAACAACTAATATGAATAATTAACTTGCCTTGTTAATCATAAACCGAGATTTACCGACAACCGACAAAGATTGAAAATGTTATCCAACAACCGACTTGTGGACTCCCCCATTCAGACGCTCTAATGTAAACCGAACAGTTTTTCATCGACCAGTCACTGGTTAAACATTTGAGAGCTACGCGAAGGCTCACCAGGGGCAGCCAACGACAATTTTCGGAAATTATATTCTGTTCGGAAGACGATTTGCGATCTAGAATTTTCGGAACATTTGTTGTAAATTTTCTTGCTTGCCTGCCTCCCCTAGGATTTTCGAACATCTAAAAAATGGTATAATTGCCCATTTTTAACGGATTTTTACCCTTGAAAGGTCACCTAGAATTTTCGGGAGCCTTTTTTCTGGCTGAAAATTACGAAAAGGAAAGTTTTCATCCCTATAATTTCCGAATCACTAGGCTTTCCGCTAGGAAATCCGAACAGATGAAAAATTTTGAGGGGATGAAAATATGCCTATATCTACCGTTTAAATACTAAAATACGTTTAACAATGCTATGTTTAAGTGGTTTTGAACTATATTCTCGCCCGGTACCCCTGGTTCATGGTCGGTTTATGATGCGTTTAGCATAAAGATTCAATAGCACGACATCATGACTGCTCAAAGAGAAGACCATCCCTCATCGGCTACGTTTTACGTAATAGGTTAAACAGAAAGTAAGAAGCAAACCTGCAAGCACGGTCCACGGACTCTGGTAGAAACAGCAACTTTACAAAGCTTGGATTAGCGAATGTGTTAAGAAAGGGTCACGGAAAGCGGACGCCGACTGGTAGCACGACATAATTATGATGACGTCAGTTATCTAATGTCAAAATCACAATTCTATAATAACAAAGGTCTGTAACTCTGTCGCAAAACTTACTGTCAATCAAGCAAATTATGCGAGTAACAAAGTTAATTATATTAACGAGAATTGGGGTGCGTGTTCCAAGTTTTTTGTATTATGCTTGACAATGGGTAGCCTGCGAGCAAGCTTTGCCAGGGTGGGAGAGCTTGCTGTGCTCGCTAGACAATGGCAGTACTGTTTTCAATGTCGCGGACATGAAAGGGCATCCAGTTAATTACCTTGAGTTTGGAAGGGTTGTACTAGCCGAATCGAGCCGAATGTGTACGACAGAACATTCGGTATGTATGTATGACCGTAAATTATACGACGCTGTTTTACGGCTCTAATGCATTAATAGCAAGTTAAGGTGGCTCGATACAGTTTTTCAGGTTTAATATCTCCCAAGCTGGAGCATAAACTACGCCGCCATAAATAAAGATTTGGAAAAATTGACACCACAGTTGTATTAGATAAAGATGAAAATTTGTTATGATCAGGGTTGCAATGACGTCGTTGTCATAGCCACGAAATGACACCATTACCTATTTTACTTGCAGCAATATTTCTCGGCACTGAAAACTGCTCTTCCAAAATCGTTTACTGGAGCTTTTTCCGCCAATAGCCGCCTCGATGTTCGTGAAGTTTAAGCGAAATCTGTAAGAGCGTTATCGAGATATTTTTTGAAGAAGTTTTTATGGTTAGAAATACGGTGAAAAAAGGTGATCTTGATGTTTGACTGTTATCTGTACTAAACAAAGCGCTTTTGACATGCAATTTCACCTCATAGTAGCTTCAATCTTTTTAAAAGCATGTGTGAAAGATCATGGAGATAACTCCAGCTGATTGCTAGAAAAAGGATTTGATTAGGATATATCGGGGAGCTCTTGTTAGCGGTAATGTAAACATTTCGGTCTATTTTAACAACTTAGCAAATAATTCTTAAACCGCTCGATACATTTTGTAAAAAGTTATAGAAGCTTGAGATTAACCTTGCTTTTATATGACCTCTTAGTTTCAAGATTATTGATATATTATAAGATAGTAAAATAAGGGCTGTTTACAAGTGACAGCCTCTCATTATTCAGGGGTATTGTCTCAAATTTTAATGTTCACGTGAACAGCAGTAACTAACATT